AACGAACGTCTAGCCGTCGTTGTCATGACAACGTGCATCCCTCTTGCGAGAGAGCGCATCCCTCGGGATGGGAGCGCCGTCGATATGCCGCCAAAGCCGCTCCTAGAAATCCTGACAGGTTTTTTTGTTCGGTCTATATTTGGAATTGGAAAACTAAAACGGTCATGATGTAGGTACTCATAAAGAGTTTATTTTGCAAAATAATTAATAATATCTTGTTTAAAATTAATCTGAGGTCGTTGGGGTTCAGAAAAAACTGTAGGTTATGATAATTTTTACTAAAAAGTTGCTATACAGTTTTAACGTACGACATGGAGTTTGTTAAGTAAAGCCAATTAATTGTATTATTAAGGTCGGACGGCATCTGGAACGCTTAGCAGGAAATAATAGGTCGGACGGCATTTGGAACGCCAAAATTACACGGTTTTTATGTGTTTACGTGGTAAATAACGAATACTTTGTACTTTTTTCGTGTTGTATAGATATTATTTTCGTGTTTGTCCATTTACCTCCACTTTATATCGGTTACGCCCTAGAAAATAAAAGAGATTTACAGGGAGCGAGTTAATGGAATTGATTTGTACAACGGGAACGAACACGCATATAAAAGCCTCCTCGATTGATTTTCCTGATAAATTCGAAAGGGAAATGTACACCATTATTCGTTCTTATTTTTGTATTGTGTTTTAACACAAAATGTCTAAATTAAAGCTGCAAAACAATTAATATTACTTTGTTGTTTTGCAGCAAATGGTATGTATAAAATCTTCCGACAATCAACATTCTCTCAAATATGCTTTAATTTGTGCACAATTTGCTTAACAAGATCAGCAAGCTAGCTAATAAATGAAATAATGCTTAAATGAACGTGTGAACCGATAAATTAAATTTAAAGCATACGAAAGTTATCGCCTTCTAGCATATGAACCTTTAACAGATTTACTCGGTTCCGCTCGTAGATAGAGAATGAGTGATACGGGGAATAACGTCCTGTCATATCACAACTTACAAGTACGAGACGTACAAGATGGAGATCTATTTTAAACTCCACACATGTACGACACATTTGGAAGCGCGATAAAGGGAATTACCATCTCGGAAGTGTTAATTTGACGTAGTGCACGATTAAGTGGTTACACACAAGAAAAGTGATGTCGAGTACGAGCCGAATTGCTTTTAGATGCATCTTGCGAAGCAATTTTCTAACGGCTGCTTGTTAGCGTTCAAATTAATGTACACTGTTGTGTCTTTGATTAAAAGCCTTGAATAAATGGTAACTTTGTTTAAAAATAATGTTCAAAATCTCTTAAGAACTGTCTGAAATATTATACAAATATTGTCCAAAATAGTTTTTCAATATTGTCAAATCTCAATTTAAAATGTTAAAAACACATTTAAAAATGTTAAAAAATGTATTTTAGAATTAAGACGTTAAACGTAAAAAGTCATAAATACATTAACAACGTTAAACTTACTTTAAATTTCATAAACAAATTTTAGAGAATCAAAACCTTATTCAAAGTTGAGCGCAAAAACAACAATATTTTATCAATATTGCCAAATCACAATTTGAAATGTCAAAAACACATTTAAAAATATTAAAAAATGTAAGTATTTTAGAATGAAGACAAAAATACATTTTAGAATGTTTAATGCAAAAACAAAAATAATTTGTCAATATTGCCAAATCACAATTTTAAATGTCAAAAACACAAAATGTTACCCAACGTCAAAAAAATTTCAGAGGATCAAAACCATATTGAAAGTCAGGCACAAAAACAACAATATTTTGTCAATAATGCCAAATAACAATTTAAAATGTCAAAAACACATTTAAAAATGTTAAAAAATGTATTTTAGAATAAAGATATAAAACGTCAAAAAGACAAAAATACATTTTAGAATGTTAAACGTACTTAAAATGCCATAAACAAATTTTAGAGAATCAAAACCATATTCAAAATTAGGCGCAAAAACAACAATATAAAATGTCAAAAGCACATTTAAAAATGTTATTGTCCAAAAGTCATAAAACTAAAGTAAATAAAGATTTTTTGTTCTGGTAGCTTGTTGAAATCCTTAACTATAGTATTTGGAACATTATTCTGAAGATATGTAAAATTTAGTTTATTAACTGAATAATTTAATCTAAATCTCGTTTCATAGCAATTATATACAAAGAAATCTATATTCTTTTTAACTAACAAAACCGCCTCAAAAATAAAAAGACCATTGATGTACAAAAATGTACTAAAAACTTAAATCTGGTTACTTATTTTGCAGAAAAAATATTTTCAGTTGTCATTGGAACTAGAGATGTAAAAAAAACGGTTTTTTTTGTTTTTTTTTTTTTTTCAAAATGAAATTTTTAGTAAAATGTATGTTAATAATAAAGTGAATAACTTTTTGCTTGGCCCTACTGGCCCAATGGCGCCTCCAATAAATATAATATAAATTTAATTGGTGCAATTTATTATTTTCCATAGTTTTTCAACAAATTTTAAATTTTATATAAAAAATATTATTTGGTAGTTTCCACATTAGAAACCAATAGCAATGTAAAACTTCTACACTAATGCAAAAAATTAAAGGATAACATTTTTTTTGCGATTTTTCGCATATCTGTATCTTTGGTCATATTGGAGCCGTAAAAAAAGGCAATTTGAAGCTTGAAGTTTCTAGTTTTGAGATTTTTAGATTTTAAGATGAAAGTGCAACGCTTAATCCTAACGAATACCGTAATAAAAAAAATCGATTTTTTTTTGCTTTCTTTTTTGGTCCATGGGACTTATCTTGAAAAAACCTAAAATGTGAAAAAAAACAATGAAAAAAAACCTGAAAAAAAAACGGACCGTTTTTTTTCTAGTCGCATCTCTAATGGGGTAGTTAAATTTTTTCTGACCTATACTTTTTATGGTTTTATTCAAAGCGTTTTGTAATATTAAACATTTCTGTGAAATCAGAATTTCAATTGAGTTTACCGTTTTCGAGATATTTACAAAAAATATAAATTTTTATGACGTCACAAACCTCGCCATGTGACCAACATTCTAAGATTTCTATTGGTTGAAAATTACCCTGTTGTCAAGTTGTCTTGTTAATGATTTCATTCGGTTATGTCAGAAAATACCTGAAGAGGTTATGTACAAATACTGTCACTGTCAGTTGAGTGAAAGATGGTCACCAAATTTATTAAGTACCTATCTTCCTTATTACGAGGTATCATATTACTGTTTGATATTTTAGAGTCCAAGATATATCTAAAAGAATATAAAGAACTAGGCATTATACTAATGAAATGCATTTACGACAAAATATGATTATTGTAATAATTATAGGTACTTACTTTATTTGTTTAAAAGCTCCAATGTTCAATGTAACCAACCATTCCACAAGATTCCTCTGCTTTGGAGTCAGTTATTAATAAATCACTTATCTAATATCAATTCAAATAACATAACAATAACATTGATTTTCAATAATCTAAATTTAAAAAAAACATAACCCGAAAAAAAGAAACGTCAAAAAATCAATTCTTCTTATAGATCAAGTGGTTTTAAAACTAAAATATTATAACGTGGCGCCATCTATCGTAAGAATATTAAACTAAACATACTAGCAACCATAGAAAAAGCTGGCAACGTTGTAAATAGCCTAGTGACGTAATTAGGAGATTTTTTTTTGTAAATATCTCGAAAACGGTAAACTCAATTGAAATTCCGATTTCACAGAAATGTTTAAAATTACAAAACGCCTTGAATAAAACCATAAAAAGTATAGGTCAAAAAAAATTTAACTACCCCATTCTGATGGGACACTATTTTGGGAGATAATTGTTTATGTCTTTCTTTTATTTATCTGGAAATATAGGGACTTTGGTCAGGGAAAACCTGGAAAAGTCAGGGAATTTTAAATGGTTTTAAAAGAGGGAACCCTGTCTGAGACAAAACTCGCTCAGGAAAAAAAAACTCTAAAATTGCGATGATAATATAATATTAATATTATGGACTCAAACTTTCACCATAATTTTTTTTGTCACCCCAAACAATATTTTCGATATACTTTACAATAAAAAAATAGTCGATTTTTTTGGCCCAGTCTAAAGTACATAAAATAATTTAAAAATTAATAATACAATTTAAAAGAGACAAATAATAAATAAATAAACAAATGTGTTCCAACAACATTACAAAAAATATTGATGAAGATCATCATTAAAATATTTCACCATTGAGTAATAAGATTTATCTATTAAAATTGATTTTAACTTTTTTTAATAGAGAGTTCTCTAAATTGTTCTGGTAGCTTGTTGAAAACCTTAACTATAGTATTTGGAACATTATTCTGAAAATAAGTAAAATTTAGTTTTTTAACTAAATAATTTAATCTTTAGAGATTTAGATATCTCGTTTCATAGCAATTATACACTTCAAAGAAATCTATATTCTTTTTCACTAATAGAACCGCCTCAAAAATAAAAAGACCATTGATGTACAAAAATGTACTTAAAACTTAAATCTGGTTACTTATTTTGCAGAAAAAATATTTTCAGTTAGCATTTGAACAAATTTTTCAAAATATATTTATTTTTTACTCATTACTGTATAGAATGTTTTTTGCCGTTTATTCTTCAAAGGAGATGGTGGCTTTTGAAATTAAACCACTCTCTTATTGTTTGGGGTAACTTTTTAATAAATAGCAGTACTTTGATATAGTGTTCGCCAATTCATGAGTAGACTAACATGCGACGTAACAGGTGACCTTGTTTACTGGCGATTAAAATTTTATTACGTCCAAATAATTTCCGAGAACTCTTTCGCTTTGCGCTGACTTCAACTTGTCTGGTCCACCTACAATGTGTTTTCCCTATGTATAGCTTGCAAATGAAGGTGCGGTATATTACTTTTCCAATCAAGTCTAGTATTGATTTCCTCACCTAAAATGATACACTATCAGTAGTTTTTAACACCAGCAACATTTACAAACAACATCTCTTTCAGAACGTGGACCACAAGATGAAGTACCGCTCCAAGAAGGGGCAGCTGCCGTTCATCGAGCTGAACGGAGAGGAGATCGCCGACAGCGCCATCATCATCAAGGAGCTGAGCCAGAAGTTCGGGCACGACCTGGACGCGGCGCTGACCGCCGAGCAGCGCAACCTCGCGCACGCCACCATCTCCATGATAGAGAACCACCTCGCGTGGGTGGTGATGTGGTGGCGGTCCAAGTACCCCGACCAGATGCTCAAGGGGTACAAGGTCAACCTGCAGCACGCCCTCGGCACCAGGATACCCAACGGCATCCTCAACTTTTGCTTCAAGTTCGCCATCGGCAGAAAGGTAAAGATACACTTTTCTCTTACGGTTGTGATTTTAGTTATTTAGCGATCATTTGTTTACTATTTTTTTGGGCATTTCCGCGATTTCAGACAACACAGAATAGTCTTAAGGATTTTGATAAACCTCAACCTCAACACAAAATTGCTTAAGAATATCTAAAAACACATTTTAAACTTTAACATTACCATGATTCATTTATTTTAGAATGTTAGAATGTAAACAAATTTCAGGGGATCAAAACCATATTCATGTGTGCAAAAACAACAATATTTTGTCAAATCACAATTTAAAATGTCAAAAACATATTTAAAAATGTTGGATTTTAGAGTGAAGACATGAAACGTCAAATAGTCAAAAATACATTTAAGAATGTTAAAAGTAGTTTAAATGCCATAAACAAATTTCAGAGGATTAAAACTATATCCAAAGTCAGGCGCTAAAACCATTTTGTCAAATCACAATTTAAAATGTTAAATTAAAAACACATTCTGAAATACAACAAAATTAAAAAAAAAACTAACAAACAAAAACAAATATTTTGTCAATATTGTCAAATCACAATTTAAAATGTCAAAAATACATTTAAAAATGTTCAAAAATGTATTTTAGAATGAAGACAAAAACGACGAAAAGTCAAAAATACATTTTAGAATGGCGCAAAAACAACAATATTTTGTCAATTTTGTCTAATCACAATTTAAAATGTCAAAAACAAATTTAAAAATGTCAAAAATATATTTCTGAATGTTAAACGTACTTTAAATGCCATAAACAAATTTCAGAGGATTAAAACTATATCCAAAGTCAGGCGCTAAAACCATATTGTCAAATCACAATTTAAAATGTTAAAAACACATTCTGAAATACAACAAAATTAAAAAAATTAATCATTTAAAAGGTGCAAAAACAACAATATTTTGTCAATTTTGTCTAATCACAATTTAAAATGTCAAAAACACATTTAAAAATGTTAAAAAATGTATTTTAGAATGTTAAACGTTCTTTAAATGTCATAAACAGAGGATCAAAACCTTGTTCAAAGTCAGGCGCAAATACAATATTTTGTCAATTTGTGTCAAATCACAACTTAAAATGTCAAAAACACATTTAAAAATGTTAAAAACTAGGTTTCAAAGTGAAGACATGAAACGTCAAAAAATCAAAAATACATTTTAGAATGTTAAACGTACTTTAAATGCCATAAACAAATTTCAGAGGATTAAAACTAGATCCAAAGTCAGGCGCTAAACCCATTTTGTCAAATCACAATTTAAAATGTTAAAAACACATTCTAAAATACAACAAAATTTAAATTTAAAAAAAAACTCACCATTTAAAAGGTGCAAAAACAACAATATGTTGTAAATATTGTCAAATAAAAATTAAAATGTCAAAATCACATTTAAAAATGTTAAAAAATGTATTTTAGAATGAAGACATAAAACGTAAAATGGTCAAAAATACATTTTAGAATTTTAAACGTACTTTAAATGCCATAAACAAATTTCAGAGGATTAAAACTATATCCAAAGTCAGGCGCTAAAACCATATTGTCAAATCACAATTTAAAATGTTAAAAATACATTCTGGAATAAACAAAATTTAAAAAAAACCTAACCATTTAAAAGGTGCAAAAACAACAATATTTTGTCAATATTGTCTAATGGTTAATCCGTCAATAAAGATATTTATTTATTTATAAATGACAATTTAAAATGTCGTAGGTTTGATTAAAAACAAAACAATTTTTTTTTAAATTGTGAAAATTTTGAAAATGTTTGTCTACTTACGTTACCAGTTTCATACTAAAATCTAACTCTCAACGTCTTTTTTTAACTTTTAATCGTGGAAATGCCCTTAAACGTTATTAATTTGCCCATGTATTTTCCTCACTGTAACTAACTATATACATATTTTATTTGATTATTATTATTATGATTATCTATTATTGAATGTATCATCCTGCATCCGTAGAGGTGTTTGGACCGCCATGCGCATGCTTTTTTCCAGTGTTTTGTGTCGTTAGAAATTTTTAATGTAGAATTGACAATTTAGTGGTTGCAGGGCTCGAAGAAAGTTAAGGCCCAAGGTATGGGCGTACACTCCGCCGAAGAGGTCAACGAGTTCGGGCAGGAGGATCTCAAGGTCCTTTCCGATATGCTGGCCGACAAGCCGTTCTTCTTTGGAGATGAACCAACCAACGTAAGTACCATTTTTAGCAAAATTATTTTTTTTTTTTTTTTTACTTTTCGTAAAAATCATTGTTTGTATTTTTTACTCTAAATAATGGTACAAAGACGATAAAAAATAATTAAACTAAATCTTGGATTTATTTTAAATTAAAAAAAAAACAAAATTTTGTCAATATTGTCAAAATGTCAAAAACACATTTAAGAATATAAAAAAACGTATTTAAGAATAAAGGCAAAACGTCAAAAAGTCAAAAATACATTTTAGAATGTTAAACGAACTACTTTAAACATAGTCAAAGTCGGTCTCTTAAACAATATTGTCAAATCACAATTTAAAATGTCAAAAATACATTTAAAAATCTTAAAAAATGTATTTTAGAATGAAGACATAAAACGTCTAAAAGTCAAAAATACATTTTAGAATGTTAAACGTAATACTTTAACCATAGTCATAGTCGGTCTCTAAAACAATATTGTCAAATCACAATTTAGAATGTCAAAAATATATTTAAAAATGTTAAAAAATTAATTTTAGAATGTTAAATAGTCATTGTCAAATCACAATTTAGAATGTCAAAAATCTATTTAAAAATGTATTTTAGAATGAAACGTCAAAAATACATTTTAGAAATTTCAGAGGATCAAACCAATATTTAAAGTCAGGTGCTAAAACAATATTGTCAAATCACAATTTAAAATGTCAAAAATACATTAAAAAATGTATTTTAGAATGAAGACATAAAACGTCAAAAATACATTTTGGAATGTTAAACGTACTACTTTAACCATATGGACTATGTAAAGCCGGTCTCTAAAACAAAATTGTCAAATCACAATTTAGAATGTCAAAAATATGTTTAAAAATGTTAAAAAATAAATTTTAGAATGAAACGTCAAAAATACATTTTAAAAATTTCAGAGGATCAAACCCATATTCAAAGGTGCTAAAACAATAGTGTCAAAGCACAATTTAAAATGTCAAAAACACATTTAAAAATGTTAAAAAATGTATTTTAGAATGAAGACATAAAACGTCGAAAAGTCAAAAATACATTTTAGAATGTTAAACGTACTACTTTAACTATAGTCAAAGTTGGTCTTTAAACAATATTGTCAAATCACAATTCAGAATGTCAAAAATATATTTAAAAATTAAAAAAAAAAAAATTTTAGAATGAAACGTCATAAACCCATATTTAAAGTCAGGTGCTAAAACAATATTGTCAAATCACAAGTTAAAAAAAATGTTAAAAAATGTATTTTAGAATAAAGACATAAAATGTCGAGAAGTCAAAAATACATTTTAAAATGTTAAATAGTCATAGTCAAAGTCGGTCTCTAAAACAATATTGTCAAATCACAATTTAGTATGTCAAAAATATATTTAAAAATTTTAAAAAATGGATTTTAGAATGAAACGTCAAAAATACATTTTAGAAATTTCAGAGGATCAAACCCATATTCAAAGTCAGGTGCTAAAACAATATTGTCAAATCACAATTTAAAATGTCAAAAATATTTTTTTAAATCTTAAAAAATGTATTTTAGAACGAAAACATGAAACGTCAAAAAGTCAAAAGACAAATTTCAGAGGATTAAAACCATATTCAAAGTCATGTGCCAAAACAAAAATATTTTGATAATATTGTCAAATCGCAATTTAAAATTTCAAAAACACATTTTGGAATGTTAACCAGTTTTAGAGGATCAAAACCATATTCAAAGTCAAGAGAAAAATGAAACTATAAAGATCATAAGCTTGTTAGGATTAAAAAAAAATATTTCTTACATTTCGGTGGGAGTTTAAACCCCCTGTTTAAAGAATCATATTCTAAATTACAAAAACCTCTATGAACATTATTATTATTATCATTATTTCTTCCTTCATTCTACACAGAAAAAATCTAACATAGTACCAAGAACAGCGCTGTCATTGAATGCATTAAAATTGAAGCAATTAATTACTATTAAACCAAAATAGGGAAATATTTTGCCTAAATGTCAAAGAATTTATTGCGTTAAATGTATACATAGTATACATACAATAGTAACGTTATTAAATAAATCAAATTAGTATTTAATGCAATAACATTCTACCATTCTAACAAATAAATATCAATATGAATATCAATAGATTTAGGAGCGATAACTTTTGTTGTTAATTTAAAAACAGTAAACGATTATAAACCAAGTGCTAACTACCTATTGGTATTATAGGAACTGTTATTCAGGAATACGGATTACAAGATCCCATTGGTTTAATGGCTCACCCATTCATGCTATGCTAGCGTTTTTTCTGTGTACGCATTCATTTCTTAAAATATTAATTAACGAAAACTTCCGTATCGATGTTTAGTTGGACGTGGTCGTGTTCGCCCACCTGGCGTCGATCTACTTCATCGACAAAGAGGTGCAGTACTCGCTGAGAGACTTCATGACCGAGTCGTGCCCGAACCTGGTCGGGCACGTGAACCGCATGAAGGAGCGCTGCTTCGGCGACTGGGACGACATCTGCACCAACTTGGATCTGAACTCGCACCTGCCCAAGCCGGCGCCCGAAGAGACCAAGGAGAAGGAGGCCGCCAAGGACGAGAAGGAGGGAGACAAGGAGAAGGAGCCCGAAGAGAAGGACATCGAAAAGGAGAAGGTGAGTTTTTAGGATTTCGGTTTATATTAACGGTATACATATATTAACAATTTTACAAAAAAGATGACACATTAAAAAATCCCCAATTTAAAAAATAGCGGAATCAGGACTTTTTACATACATAAAAAAACATAAAAAAATTAATGTGAAATGTATTAATACATAATTATCAAAAAAACACAAAAAAAACAATTTAAAAAATGCAGAATTAAACATAAATGAAATAAACAAATAAATATATTAAACATTCCTTTACATTTTTAAATAAATTTTTTTTTCTTTCAGTTACAATTTAAAAGTCAAAATCCAAAAATCAGTTACAAAATCGCAAAACCGCAAAACAATATTTAAAAATTAAAAAAATAAAATGAATAAATATGTAAAAAGATTAATATCAAGAAAAATGCATAAATTAAAATATGTACTTAAAACTTTCTATTTTTAAAGTTATAAAATTAAAGAAATTCACAATTACAACAAAAGTAAGCAAGAAATAACGATTTAAAAGTAAAAATCCAAAAAGGTTAAATATGTCAAAAGACACAATTTTACAAAAATTTAAAGAATCGTCAATTTAAAAAATAGCGGAATCATGACTTTTTGATTAACATAATAAAAAATAATGTAAAATGTATTAAAACAACATAATTATCAAAAAACACAAAAAAAACATTTAAAAAATGCAAAATTAAACATAAATGAAACAAAATCAAAATAATAAAAAGTTTTGTCAACATTTGTTTTTTAATCATTAGGTAAATAAACAAATAAATATATTCAAAATTCCTTTACATTTTTAAATAAAATATTTTTTTTCTTTCAATTACAATTTAAAAGTCAAAAACCAAAAAGGTTAAATATGTTAAAAACCATAAAAAACAAAGTTAAAAATCCCAAAACCTAACTAAAAAAATTAAAAATGCAGGATTAAAAGAAATATGTAAAAAATCGATTAATATCAAGAAAAATGCAAAAATTAAAAAATGTACTTGGGCATTCAAAATTCCTTTACATTTTTAAATAAAATAAATATTTTTTTTTCAATTACAATTTAAGAGTCAAAATTCAAAAAGGTTAAATATGTTAAAAAAACAAAGTAAAAAATCCCAAAACCTAACTTAAAAAATATAAAAATGCAGGATTAAAAGAAATATGTAAAAAATCGAAATACTAAAGATTAATATCAATAAAAATGCAAAAATTAAAAAATTTACTAAAAAATTATATCTAGTAAAAAACTTTTGAATCATTTGGAATTTTACAAAATCATCATTGTTCATGAAAATAAACGAAATTCAGAAATACAACATAAGTAAAAAAAATAACGATTTAAAAGTCAAAATCTAAAAAGGTTGAAAAACTTAAATATAAAAAATGCAAGATTAAAAAAAAATATTATATCAGAAAAATGCAAAAATTAAAAAATGTACTAAAAACTAGTAAAAAACTTAAAAAATTCTTATTTTTCATGAAAATTAACAAAATTAAAAAATACAACAAAAGTAAAAAAAAATAAAGATTTAAAAGTCAAAATCCAAAAAGGTTAAAAAGTCTAAAAACCTAACTTAAAAATAAAAAATGCAGGATTAAAAGAAATATGTAAACAAATGAAAATACTAAAGATTTGCTTTAAAATCAAGAAAAATGCAAAAAATTACAAATGTACTAAATAATTACGTATTATATGGTATTTTTTTTATTTTTAAAGTTTTAATTATTTAGAATTTTGCAAAAAAAGCATTAAAAAATCCATTAAAATTAAAAAAATTCGGGAATACAACAAAATAATAAAAAAATAAAGATTTAAAAGTCAAATTCCAAATATGCAAAAAAAATTAAATTTTTTTATGTTCTTTTCTGAAAAATATAGAAAAAAAATATTCAGACCCATCTCAATGCTTTTTGTTTAATTTTCAAAAAAAATACAAAAATTTCTTGATGATTGTCATTTTTATTTAATTTTCAAAAAAAAAATACAAAAATTTCTCGATGATTATCATTTTTATTTATTTTTTATTAGAAACTGCGTTTTTTCGTAATAATACCACACAAAGTTTGAAAAAAAATTATAAAAAATGAATTTAAAAAAAAATTTCAATGTTTTGCGAAAAAGTAAGAAAAATATTGTTGTGAATAATTTTTTTATATTTTTCTTTTAAAAGCAAATAAAATAAAAAAAAAATAATTTGGTTCATTTTTGGATGACATTCGTTTTATGTTTTTTTAACACCGCTTTTTTTGTTTAGTTATATCTACTTACTTAAAAACCAAAAGTTAAAATCCCAACTTAAAAATTAAAAAAATGCAGGACTAAAAGAAATTTGTAAACAAATCAAAATACTACAAATTTAAATATAAATAATATAATAATATAAATTTAAATATTTAAAAAAAGCAGTATAATTAAATAATAGTAAAAATCTTTTGATTTTTAAACTTTGAATCATTTAGAATTTTACAAAAAAAAACATTTTTTATGAAAATTAACAAAATTCAGAAATACAACAAAAGTAAAAAAAATCTAAAAGGTTAAAAAATCCAAAAACCTAACTTAAAAATAAAAAAAAACAGGATTAAAAAAAATATGTAAAAAATCGAAATACTAAAGCTTCAAATCAAGAAAAATGCAAAAAATAACAAATGTACCTACTAAAAAATTATGGTATTTTTTTATTTTTAAAGTTTGAATCCTTTGGAATTTTCCAAAAAAAAAAACATTTAGAAAAATTAACGAAAATCACTTACAGTACAGCAAAATTAAAAAAAATTAACAATTTAAAAGCCAAAATCCAAAATGGTTAAATATGTCAAAAAACTAAAAACAGCAAAAGTTAAATTTTTGTTTTTATATGTACTTTTCAGAAAAATATAGAAAAAAAATTCAGACTCATCTAAATTTAGAAATTGACATTTTCTGCAAATATTTTAAAACATTCAGTGGCATATATATTTTTTCCTTTTTTTTTTACTTAATTTATTGCTCCTCCTGATTTTTGATGAAAAAAATAGAAAGAATGTTTTTCGAAAAAGTAAGAAAAAAAAAAGAAAGATAATTATATAGATAGTTTTTAAAAAAATTACATTTAAAAGCAAAGAAAATGAAAAAAAAATGTTATTTGGTTCGTTTTTGGATTGAATTAATTTTTTTTAACGCCTCTTTTATTTTGTTTTTAAATGCACATAGTCTTTATATTAATATTAAAAAAACTTTTTTTTTAAATTACTTTTTCAAAAAACTATTAAATAGTTTCAAAAATATATATATATATATATATTTTCTGGGTATTTAAAAACAAAAATTTTGAAAAAAAGTCAATTTTAGAAAAAAAATTATATATTTAAAAATAAAGGCACATTTTCTGGATTAAAAATAAATTATTAAGAAGTCATTTAAATTTCCTTAACAAATATTTAAAAAGGACTTAAATTAAATTTAAAACCAGGCACAAAAACACGAATTATTTGTTTTGTTTGATTCTCTCCCCATCTTAAACAAACATTTTAGAAACGCGACGAAAGTCTTGAAACAAGGCGACGAAAAAAATGTTGGGCACTTTTTCATTTAATTCTTTCAGGCGGACGAAAAGGAAAAGGACAAGCTAAAAGAAAAGGAGTCGGAAGAGAACAAAGAAAAGGAGGCCGCAAAATAGACTCCCCCGACTTCTGCCCCCCCTTCCCTCCCCCTTACTTAATCCCGCGCCCGTGTACCGGGCGTCAACAGTTTAAGGTGCGTTTTTTCATTTCTACTTCTATCTCAGACCATGTGCAAGACCTAGTTTGTAAGACTCATTCGCATATATTAACTTTATTGTAATTCGATACGGTACGATTAAAAAATGATACTCGACCGATTCGGCGTAATTTTTACGCAGTATAGTGGACGGTTCTTATTATTCACTCAAAATATATTAATTGCTAGTTAAGAACGATTGTTTGTATAAATATTTTTAGCTAGGTTTTTATTGTAAGCAATTGCGCGTCTGACAAACTTTGGGCGCCAAAGTGACAACTGGGGCCCGTCTAATTTTTCCGCTGGAATTTTTTTAGACGGGCGCCAGTGTCGAGTGCCACTTTTCGTTGTTTAATCCATGTTAGTGTACGAATTATAATATTACATAATAATAATAGCGGCGTAATAATAGCCGAGTAGTAGTGCATTAAATTCATTGTATTCATTCCACAATTTAACATTGCATCACAAAATTGAATTAACATAGCTTGACAAAAAACAGTGTCTATTGTAGATTTTTGTATTTTTTTAAAGAACAATTAATTTTAAGGTTGATCGCTGCGTAACTTTGGACCATCTAAATTTCAAATTTGTTACATGTTGTCAGTATATTTCCCCAAAGCTCAATAGATTGACTAGCATGTTGAAATTTAATTTTAGATTTTATTATAAGTTTATCTGACTTTACAACTGTGTTGTATGCTATATTATAATTTAAATAAATAAATTGGTATTTTAAGTTTTCATTCATCTTTTATTTATAAAATCCCCTACTATATTTTTTTTCAGGTGAAGAATAAAAAAAATAAACGTCAAAAACTAATAAGGTTAAAAAATCCAAAAACCTTACTTAAAAATAAAAAATGCAGGAGTGAAAAAAAATTATTATTATCAAGAAAAATGCAAACTTTTGATTTTTAAAGTGTGAATCATTTAGAATTTTACAAAAAAAGCATTTTAAAATCATCATTTTTCATGATAATTAACGAAATTCAGAAATACAACGAAAAAACGTTTTAAAAGTCAAAATCTAAAAAGGTTTAAAAATCCAAAAACCCAACTTAAAAATAAAAAAATTGCGGAATAAAAAAAATTATCAAGAAAAATGCAAAAATTAAAAAATTGTAGTAAAAAACTATTATTTTTTTAAATTTGAATCATTTAGAATTTTACGAATAAAAATTATTTTAAAATCATCATTTTTCATGAAAATTAACGAAATTCAGAAATACAACAAAAAAAACGATTTAAAAGTCAAAATCTCAAAAGGTTAAAAAATACAAAAACGTAACAAAAAAATTGCAGAATTAAAAGAAATTATATCAAAAAAATGGAAAAATTAAGAAATGGACTAAAAATTATAATAAAATACTTTTGATTTTTAAAGTTTGAATCATTTAGAATTTTACAAAAAAAATCAATTTAAAATCATCATTTTTCATGTAAATTAACAAAACTCAGAAATAAAGGGTGATTTTTTTAGAGTGTCCGAACTTTAAATTCAAATTAAATAACAACCAAATTAAATATCTTAAAAATATTTATTTTATATGAAATAACATTCAATGACATTATTGTTTAAAAATAATTTCGGTCAAATGTCCTCCGCGGCTACTTGTAACAAAGCGAATTCTATTAATCCAATTTCCGACCATTTTATCAAGCAATTTAGGTCTTATTTACGCAATTGTCCGAGTTATGAATAGTTGCTGGTTTATTTACATTTACCAAAGATTAAACATTACCACAAAGAAAATAAAGATATTTCCGCAAAATTTCCCACGTAGACCAATAACAAAGCCCAACTTTATGCGAATGTCGACGAATTGACAAATTTGGGTCTTTCTCATCACTGTCGGCAACAGCGATGATATTTTCTTGGAAACGCACTGTTTTTGTTCTTGTCTTTATTTTAATATCTAACAGCGTAAAATTCTTTCGGAATTTCTTGATGATTCGGCGAATACATCGCTCGATTGGGCGTATGTATACCATAAAATTCACGAAGAGCACGATAAGTTTGGCGCACAAAACAATGGTTTTGATGGTAAATTTCGACAATTTGCAAGCGTTAAACGTTCCATGATGATTTGTCAGACTATACTGAGTAACTTAGTTTCTAGATGCATGAAAATTGACAGTTTGTTTGACCGAGACACTTGTCAGAAGTTCGGACATACTTAAAAAATCACCCTTTACAACAAAATTTAAAAAAATAACGATTTAAAAGTCAAAATCTAAGAAGGTTAAGAAATCCAAAAACCTAAACTAAAAATAAAAAAATGCAGGAGTAATTAATAAAAAGCTTTATTGTAATTCGACGGTATGATTAAAAAATGATACTCGACCGATTCAGCGTAATTTTTACGCAGTATAGTGGACGGTTTTATTATTCACTCAAAATATATTAATTGCTAGTTAAGAACGATTGTTTGTATAAATATTTTTAGCTAGGTTTTTATTGTAAGCAATTGCGCGTCTGACAAACTTTGGGCGCCAAAGTGACAACTGGGGCCCGTCTAATTTTTCCGCTGGAATTTTTTTAGACGGGCGCCAGTGTCGAGTGCCACTTTTCGTTGTTTAATCCATGTTAGTGTACGAATTATAATATTACATAATAATAATAGCGGCGTAATAATAGCCGAGTAGTAGTGCATTAAATTCATTGTATTCATTCCACGATTTAACATTGCATCACAAAATTGAATTAACATAGCTTGACAAAAAACAGTGTCTATTGTAGATTTTTGTATTTTTTTAAAGAACAATTAATTTTAAGGTTGATCGCTGCGTAACTTTGGACCATCTAAATTTCAAATTTGTTACATGTTGTCAGTATATTTCCCCAAAGCTCAATAGATTGACTAGCATGTTGAAATTTAATTTTAGATTTTATTATAAGTTTATCTGACTTTACAACTGTGTTGTATGCTATATTATAATTTAAATAAATAAATTGGTATTTTAAGTTTTCATTCTTTTTTTATTTATAAAATCCCATTATATTTTTTTCAGGTAAATCTAAAAAGGTTAAAAAATCCAAAAACCTAACTTAAAAATAAAAAATGCAGGATTAAAAAAAATTATATCAAGAAAAATGCAAACTTTTGATTTTTAAAGTTTGAATCATTTAGAATTTTACAAAAAAAAGCATTTTAAAATCATCATTTTTCATGATAATTAACGAAATTCAGAAATACAACGAAAAAACGTTTTAAAAGTCAAAATCTAAAAAGGTTTAAAAATCCAAAAACCCAACATAAAAATAAAAAAATTGCGGAATAAAAAAAATTATCAAGAAAAATGCAAAAATTAAAAAATTATAGTAAAAAACTCATGTTTTTTTTAAAATTTAAATCATTTAAAATTTTACAAATAAAAATCATTTTAAAATCATCATTTTTCATGAAAATTAACGAAATTCAGAAATACAACAAAAAAACGATTTAAACGTCAAAATCTAAAAGGGTTAAAAAATCCAAAAACCTAACAAAAAAATTGCAGAATTAAAAAAAATTATATGAAAAAAATGGAAAAATTAAGAAATGGACTAAAAATTATAATAAAATACTTTTGATTTTTAAAGTTTGAATCATTTAGAATTTTACAAAAAAAAGCATTTTAAAATCATCATTTTTCATGATAATTAACGAAATTCAGAAATACAACGAAAAAACGTTTTAAAAGTCAAAATCTAAAAAGGTTTAAAAATCCAAAAACCCAACATAAAAATAAAAAAATTGCGGAATAAAAAAAAATTATCAAGAAAAATGCAAAAATTAAAAAATTATAGTAAAAAACTCATGTTTTTTTTTAAATTTAAATCATTTAGAATTTTACAAATAAAAATCATTTTAAAATCATCATTTTTCATGAAAATTAACGAAATTCAGAAATACAACAAAAAAAACGATTTAAACGTCAAAATCTAAAAGGGTTAAAAAATCCAAAAACCTAACTAAAAAATTGCAGAATTAAAAAAAATTATATGAAAAAAATGGAAAAATTAAGAAATGGACTAAAAATTATAATAAAATACTTTTGATTTTTAAAGTTTGAATCATTTAGAATTTTACAAAAAAAATCAATTTAAAATCATCATTTTTCATGAAAATTAACAAAATTCAGAAATACAGCAAAATTTAAAAAAATAATGATTTAAAAGTCAAAATCTAAAAAGGTTAAAAAATCCAAAACCTAAACTAAAAATAAAAAAATGCAGGAGTTATTAATAAAAAGCTTTATTGTAATTCGACGGTATGATTAAAAAATAATACTCGACCGATTCAGCGTAATTTTTGCGTATAGTGGACGGTTCTTATTATTCACTCAAAATATATTAATTGCTAGTTAAGAACGATTGTTTGTATAAATATTTTTAGCTAGGTTTTTATTGTAAGCAATTGCGCGTCTGACAAACTTTGGGCGCCAAAGTGACAACTGGGGCCCGTCTAATTTTTCCGCCGGAATTTTTTTAGACGGGCGCCAGTGTCGGTGCCCCTTTTCGTTGTTTAATCCATGTTAGTGTACGAATTATAATATTACATAATAATAATAGCGGCGTAATAATAGCCGAGTAGTAGTGCATTAAATTCATTGTATTCATTCCACGATTTAACATTGCATCACAAAATTGAATTAACATAGCTTGACGAAAAAACAGTGTCTATTGTAGATTTTTGTATTTTTTTAAAGAACAATTAATTTTAAGGTTGATCGCTGCGTAACTTTGGACCATCTAAATTTCAAATTTGTTACATGTTGTCAGTATATTTCCCCAAAGCTCAATAGATTGACTAGCATGTTGAAATTTAATTTTAGATTTTATTATAAGTTTATCTGACTTTACAACTGTGTTGTATGCTATATTATAATTTAAATAAATAAATTGGTATTTTAAGTTTTCATTCTTCTTTTATTTATTAAATCCCCCACTATATTTTTTTTCAGGTAAAGAATAAACAAAAATAAACGTCAAAATCTAAAAAGGTTTAAAAATCCAAAAACCTAACTTAAAAATAAAAAATGCAGGATTAAAAAAAAATTATATCAAGAAAAATGCAAACTTTTGATTTTTAAAGTTTGAATCATTTAGAATTTTACAAAAAAAGCATTTTAAAATCAACATTTTTCATGATAATTAACGAAATTCAGAAATACAACGAAAAAACGTTTTAAAAGTCAAAATCTAAAAAGATTTAAAAATACAAAAAGGCAACTTAAAAATAAAAAAATTGCGGAATAAAAAAAATTATCAAGAAAAATGCAAAAATTAGAAAATTGTAGTAAAAAACTTTTTTTTTTTAAATTTGAATCAATTAGAATTTTACGAATAAAAATCATTTTAAAATCATCATTTTTCATGAAAATTAAAGAAATTCAGAAATACAACAAAAAAAACGATTTAAAAGTCAAAATCTCAAAAGGTTAAAAAATACAAAAACTTAACAAAAAAATTGCAGAATTAAAAGAAATTATATCAAAAAAATGGAAAAATTAAGAAATGGACTAAAAATTATAATAAAATACTTTTGATTTTTAAATTTTGAATCATTTAGAATTTTACAAAAAAAATCAATTTAAAATCATCATTTTTCATGTAAATTAACAAATTCAGAAATACAACTAAATAAAAAAAATAACGATTTAAAGTCAAAATCTAAAAAGGTTAAAAAATCTAAAACCTAAATTAAAAATAAAAAAATGCAGGAGTAATTAATAAAAAGCTTTATTTTAATTCGACGGTATGATTAAAAAATGATACTCGACCGATTCAGCGTAATTTTACGCAGTATAGTGGACGGTTCTTATTATTCACTCAAAATATATTAATTGCTAGTTAAGAACGATTGTTTGTATAAATATTTTTAGCTAGGTTTTTATTGTAAGCAATTGCGCGTCTGACAAACTTTGGGCGCCAAAGCGACAACTGGGGCCCGCCTAATTTTTCCGCCGGAATTTTTTAGACGGGCGCCAGTGTCGGTGCCACTTTTCGTTGTTTAATCCATGTTAGTGTACGAATTATAATATTACATAATAATAATAGCGGCGTAATAATAGCCGAGTAGTAGTGCATTAAATTCATTGTATTCATTCCACAATTTAACATTGCATCACAAAATTGAATTAACATAGCTTGACAAAAAACAGTGTCTATTGTAGATTTTTGTATTTTTTTAAAGAACAATTAATTTTAAGGTTGATCGCTGCGTAACTTTGGACCATCTAAATTTCAAATTTGTTACATGTTGTCAGTGTATTTCCCCAAAGCTCAATAGATTGACTAGCATGTTGAAATTTAATTTTAGATTTTATTATAAGTTTATCTGACTTTACAACTGTGTTGTATGCTATATTATAATTTAAATAAATAAATTGGTATTTTAAGTTTTCATTCTTCTTTTATTTATTAAATCCCCCACTATATTTTTTTTCAGGTGAAGAATAAAAAAAAATAAACGTCAAAAACTAATAAGGTTAAAAAATCCAAAAACCTAACTTAAAAATAAAAAATGCAGGAGTGAAAAAACATTATATCAAGAAAAATGCAAACTTTTGATTTTTAAAGTGTGAATCATTTAGAATTTTATAAAAAAATCATCATTTTTCATAATAATTAAGGAAATTCAGAAATACAACGAAAAAACGTTTTAAAAGTCAAAATCTAAAAAGGTTTAAAAATCCAAAAACCCAACTTAAAAATAAAAAAATTGCGGAATAAAAAAAAATTATCAAGAAAAATGCAAAAATTAAAAAATTGTAGTAAAAAACTTTTATTTTTTTAAATTTGAATCATTTAGAATTTTACGAATAAAAATCATTTTAAAATCATCATTTTTCATGAAAATTAAAGAAATTCAGAAATACAACAAAAAAAAACGATTTAAAAGTCAAAATCTCAAAAGGTTAAAAAATACAAAAACGTAACAAAAAAATTGCAGAATTAAAAGAAATTATATCAAAAAAATGGAAAAATTAAGAAATGGACTAAAAATTATAATAAAATACTTTTGATTTTTAAAGTTTGAATCATTTAGAATTTTACAAAAAAAAATCAATTTAAAATCATCATTTTTCATTTAAATTAAAAAAATTCAGAAATACAACAAAATTAAAAAAATAACGATTTAAAAGTCAAAATCTAAAAAGGTTAAAAAATCCAAAAATGCAGGAGTAATTAATAAAAAGCTTTATTGTAATTCGACGGTATGATTAAAAAATAATACTCGACCGATTCAGCGTAATTTTTACGCAGTATAGTGGACGGTTCTTATTATTCACTCAAAATATATTAATTGCTAGTTAAGAACGATTGTTTGTATAAATATTTTTAGCTAGGTTTTTATTGTAAGCAATTGCGCGTCTGACAAACTTTGGGCGCCAAAGCGACAACTGGGGCCCGTCTAATTTTTCCGCGGGAATTTTTTTAGACGGGCGCCAGTGTCGAGTGCCACTTTTCGTTGTTTAATCCATGTTAGTGTACGAATTATAACATTACATAATAATAATAGCGGCGTAATAATAGCCGAGTAGTAGTGCATTAAATTCATTGTATTCATTCCACGATTTAACATTGCATCACAAAATTGAATTAACATAGCTTGACAAAAAACAGTGTCTATTGTAGATTTTTGTATTTTTTTAAAGAACAATTAATTTTAAGGTTGATCGCTGCGTAACTTTGGACCATCTAAATTTCAAATTTGTTACATGTTGTCAGTATATTTCCCAAAGCTCAATAGATTGACTAGCATGTTGAAATTTAATTTTAGATTTTATTATAAGTTTATCTGACTTTACAACTGTGTTGTATGCTATATTATAATTTAAATAAATAAATTGGTATTTTAAGTTTTCATTCTTCTTTTATTTATAAAATCCCCTACTATATTTTTTTTCAGGTAAAGAATTTAAAAAATAAACGTCAAAAACTAATAAGGTTAAAAAATCCAAAAACCTTACTTAAAAATAAAAAATGCAGGAGTGAAAAAAAATTATTATTATCAAGAAAAATGCAAACTTTTGATTTTTAAAGTGTGAATCATTTAGAATTTTACAAAAAAAGCATTTTAAAATCAACATTTTTCATGATAATTAACGAAATTCAGAAATACAACCAAAAAACGTTTTAAAAGTCAAAATCTAAAAAGGTTTAAAAATCCAAAAACCCAACTTAAAAATAAAAAAAATTGCGGAATAAAAAAAATTGTCAAGAAAAATGCAAAAATTAAAATATTGTAGTAAAAAACTTTTGTTTTTTTAAATTTGAATCATTTAGAATCAAAATCATTTTAAAATCATAATTTTTATGAAAATTAACGAAATTCAGAAATACAACAAAAAAAACGATTTAAAAGTCAAAATCTAAAAAGGTTAAAAAATTAGAAAAAATTATATCAAAAAAATGGAAAAATTAAGAAATGGACTAAAAATTATAATAAAATACTTTTGATTTTTAAAGTTTGAAACATTTAGAATTTTGCAGAAAAAATCATCAAATTTCATGAAAATTAACAAAATTCAGAAATACAACAAAAGTAAAAAAAAATAACGATTTAAAAGTGAAAATCTAAATAATAATAAAAAATGATACTCGACCGATTTAGCGTAATTGTTAAATTATAGTAAAAATCTTTTGATTTAAAAAAAATATTTTAATTTTTCATGAAAATTTAGAAATACAACAAAAGTAAAAAAAACCTAACTTAAAAATAAAAACATTGCAGAACTGAATTGAATCATTTATATTTTTACAAAAAAATCATTTCAAAATCATAATTTTTCATGAAAATTAACGAAATTTAAAAGTTAAAATCCAAAAAGTTTAAAAAATCCAAAAACCTAACTTAAAAAAATATGTAAACAAATCAAAATACTAAAGATTGATTTAAAATCAATAAAAATGCAAAAAATTTGTAAATTAGGTACTATTTAAAAGTCATTACTACTTAAAAATTCAAAAAATGCAGGATTAAAAGAAATATGTAAATAAATCAAAATACTAAAGATTTGATTTAAAATAAAGTATTTGATTAGAGGTATTTTTTTATTTTTAAAGTTTAAATCTTCAAATCGTTTTATAAAAATTAACGAAAATCAGCAATACAACATTAAAAAAACGATTTAAATGTCAAAATTCAAAAAAGTTTAATATGTCAAAAAACTACAAAAAAAACAAAAGTTATATTTTTATTTTTATATGTACCAGAGCCATCCGAACGTTTTTTGTTTAATTTTCGGAAAAAAATTAAAATTTCTCGATGATTAGAAACTGCAAATTTTCTAAAATATTCAATGAAATTTTTTCGTTTTTTTTTTACTTAGCTTATTGCTTATAATACCACTCCCCCTGATTTTTGATGATGTAGAGAGAACATCAAAGTTTGAAAAAAATTATAATGAAATTGAAAGAAAAAATTCAATATTTGTTGTAGGCGTAAGAAAAAAATAATAAATAAAATAAAATTAAAATGAAAAAACGCCAATTTGAAAGTTTTAGAGAATTTGCAAAAAACTTAAAAATTTAAAAAATGCTGAATTTAAAGAAATTTATAAAATATAGACTTTCTTTGATACACAAAAAAATTTAAAAATTAAAAAATTATAGTAAAAAACTTTTTGATTTTTAAAGTTTGCATGGTTTGGAATTTTACAAAAAAAAGCATTTAAAAATCCTCATTTTTCATAAAAATTAACGAAAGTTAAAGAATAAAATTTGTTTCATTACAACACTAGTTTTAAATATAGGCAACCCAGATTACACTACTATTTATAGAGGATTTGGTAAACACTGGAATCAATTAAATTCAATTCATTGTTTAGTTGTTTTCTTTCTGTAATAAAGGATTTTTTTAATTAAAATATAGTTCAGTTGTTAATTGCTACTTTTATTAAAATGTGTATATTTTCCAAAAAATATTATCATTTTTTCAGTTTTTTTTCTACCCTACTTTTAAAACAGTTTTGGTAAAAAAATAAATAAAATTTACTATAATATCAAGGCATATTTTACGAAATATTTTATTTAAAAAAACAAGAAAAGTTATAAATAGGTAAACCGTTGAAATTTTTATCATCATAATATAAACTTCATTACTTAAAGAATTCTAAACATTTAACATTATTTTTGGAAATATTTGGTTGATAAATAAAACTTCGTGATTATTTAATTTAGAAAATTCTTGAACACTTTATTTAATAACATAACTATAATTAAATATATTTAAACACAAATAACTAAATCATTATTTTTTGTTTTTTGAAACTCATTTAAAAGAACCAATCATCAGAGACTGATTTATTCTAAAAAATAATTTTACCATTAATAATTTTGAGCATTCTCTATTCTCTATCACTTACCTGAACAGCATTAGCGTCTTGACTGGACCCTTGTGAAGAAGTAAGGCCGTAAAATTTGACCTTTTTGGGGGAAGGTCCCGACAACTTTAGAGGACTTTTCAAAATCCCCGTAACGCCCAAACTTGCGTCTGGTTTCGCAAAAACCCCGCTCATTTTGTTCAAGTAAGTGTTATAACCTTGTAAACGTTTCCTTTTTGTTTCTATGGCTCCCTCACTCTTAAATAGCTCGTTGCTCATTTGAGACTTTTCCTCCGAAATTTGCTTCAACTTTTCTTTCAAAGACTTTTTCTTTTCTTCCAGATAAGTCAAAGAAGCCAATAAGTATTCGTGGTCTTTTCTTAATTCATCCATGTTGGCTTTGTAAGTAACATCATGGTCACTTAATTTTTTCGTCAATTTTACAATTTCTTTCGTGAATTGTTCATTTACCAAAGAAATTTGTTCGGATTTGTAATGGATAAATTCTTCCTCTTCCTTACATTTGGCGTCTATTTCCACTAATTTTTTAGTCAAAGTTTTTGACTTCATATCTAAAAGAGTCAAATTTTTCTCCGGTTCTATTTCTGATTCTTTAAGTTCAATCAAAACTGATTTCAAATCGTTCAATTCTTGAATATCCTCCAAATATTCCTTATTCAAAACTTCCAAATCCTAAAGACATTGTAAAGAAAGAAATTTAACAATAAAATCAACTCACTTTTTCATGTTCTTTTCTTTGATTTTTAATTTTGATCAAATCGTTTTTCTTTTCTTTCAACTTCATTCCAATTTCTTGCAATTCTTCATCCAAATCCAATTTATTATCCTCAAACGCAATTGTTTTATTTTCCAAAATTTGTTTTGCGGTTTTCACTCCACCTTCCAAATTATCCGATTCTTTAACAACTTCAGATAATTTATTTTCACGAATTTCAATATTTTTATTGAACATACGGATATATTCAGTCAATGAATCAAATTTTATTTCCAAACCTTTAATTCTACAAAATATAATTAAAGATCTCACCGCTTAAATAAATATTTATTTACACACCTATTTTTGACTGAATTAATTTCGTTGTCCATTTTTTCTTTTAAGGCAAACTTTTCACATTTCATTTGAAAATATTGACCTAACAGTTTATTATAATTTTCGCGTCTATTGGAATTTAATAATTCGTAACGTTTTTCAATTAAATCAGCTTTATTTTCATCAAGTTTTTTAAAGTTATCCAATTCATCTTCAAGCAACTTTTGAAGTTCATTTATTTTCACTTGTTTTTCAGTATTAGTACTTTTTAAGTTTAAAACTTTATCCTTTAAGTGTGCAATTTCCATGGATTTATGACATTCTTGTTCTATCAATTTATTTTTTAATTTGCTTATTTGTTCTTCAAATGTTTTTTTGTTTTCTTCATTTTTATCAAATGAAATTTTTAATTGTTCATATACGCTGAAGTATTTTTCATATTGCACCTTAAAATGCACAGTTCTAATATTTTCCTCACATGAATTGATATAATCTTTTAGGTGGGAAATCATTTCATTGGTATGTACAGTTCTGGACGGAAAAGTTTTGATATCCTCCCTATCATTTTGAAGTTGTTTTTCCAAATCCATATTTTCATATTTAGTTTTGTTTAATCCAGTACTAATTTTCTGGATTTGTTTTAAGTTTACCTTATTTTCACCTTCAATTTCTTGAAGTCGTACATTTTCTACCGCCTAACAAACAGTAATGATAATGATAATGATAATTCCTTCCGTAAAAGATGAACAATACGAAAATCGTAGTGCCATTTATAGATTTCCGTACGGCAATCTATAAATCAGACTGCATTTGAGGCAATATTACTTAATTTAATTAAATATTTTGTTAAATTAACCTTAAAATATTACTCTGAAATAAAACTTTTTTTAAAGTTATTTAATATGATTTATTTATGTTATTTTTACCTTTTTTAATAACCCTTAAGTTTCAACACTTTAAAGTATTATGAGGGACGTAATTTTTACGAAAGAAAATTACTTATAAGTGTATTTCACCTAAAGGAAAATTTAACGGTAATTTTAACGTCAGAATTTTTAATTAATGGTAAATGTTACTCATAAGTCATAATTTTACAATATTAAGACCACTTTATAACCGTAAATAATTTCTATTCGCCTGGTATTTTTTAGGATATTAGTGGTAATAACTAGTATAAATATTGACTAAACAAGGAAAAATAAGCTTAAAGTGAAAAATAAAATTTTTTTCGGGTCGCCATAATGAGTTTTTTAAGATGGCATCCATTACTTATTTAAACATTTATATAGGTAATATTTTTTCATAAATATTTTTTAAAAATATAATAAGGAAAGTTTTAGTTATTAAAAAATGATTAAAACTAAATGATTTTTAAACGATTTTATAAAATTTTGTAGGTTTTAAGTTTTGTTGAATTTTTACCCAAGCAATAATTTTTCTTAAAACCGTAAAATATTTATTAATAATGTGCGTTTGTGTTTTAATGCAAAATATTATTAGTTCATGATACATGATGGTTTGTTGTATCATGTTATTATATTTTTTATCTATTTTGGTTTCATAATGACTTCATTATAACACCGCTTTTGGTTCTTTAATGAGGTACTTTATTCCACCCAAAATTTTGATTTTATAGGTTGGCTACTGGTAAAATACAATTTTGAATACCTATAGGTTATAATATTTTTATGATTTGTTTTCTAGTACTTACGAGACTTTTCGTGCAATAAATTTTGTTTAACACCAAAGAAAATCCTTTTTTCTTCTTTAACAGCCGCTTATTGTAAATACTTATTGTAAATTAACGACGCCATAGCGAAAGAATGTGATAATGTTTGAAAGGTTAATGACCTTTCAAACTTCAAACTGTGATACCAACTATGTAAAGTAAAATTCCACCAAATTAAATATAAGGTATAAAATTAATTTGTTTTATAAAATGTTTGCAAAATAGATAAAATAGCATAAAGAACTCATGTCATAAGACCTTTTGTCGCACTTGTCCATTATAAAACTCGCTCCTTCGTCGCTCGTTTTATAAATTGTCCGCGTGCGACAAAATGACGTCTTATGACATTAGTTCTTTAATATACTATTAATTTTACTTTAGAGTGGCCTTTATTACTTTGTTGTAACCATTTTGTAAAATATAAATTAAAGGAACAATTGCTTTAAAGAAATTAGGAATGTCAATGTTTTAGAAAGAGAAAGCAAAGTTAGTATAGCTAGTAGTAGCGGTATTTTTACGTAAATTTGTGGTATTTATGGTGTTTTATTACGTTAGTCTCTTTGTAGATCAAAAAGGTTATTGTAGGTAAAATGACAAAATAAACCATTCCCCTAATTTGGTAATTTTTCGTATCTATACCGTTATAAAACCGTTTTGGTTAACCGTAAAAAATACTTTGACAGTTGAGAGAAAATTAAATTAATATTATTGAATACTTTACCTTATTATATGACATTTTTAGAGCCTGTTTAACTACCAGGGAATGTGCGCTGGCTATTTTCCTTGTTTTTGGTCTAATTTGCACAAATGACTCGTTCATTTCCGTACTTTGAGTCAAGGGATTTTGAGATGCATCTTTTAACATTTCTTCATTGCGTTGCAGGAATTGTTCTCGATTTGTTTCGCGTAATAAAACCTGCTTTATTAACGAATTTTGCTGTTCACTTTGTAGATTTTCCATTTTAAAGGGTTTTTAAAGCTTAAGACGAGTTTTTATGTTCTGCAAGTTTTTATGACGCTGTGAGCGAATGACTTGATTTTTAAAACTGTTTGTTTACTTTTAGTGCTGCCCCCTTTTGAAAACAAAACAAACTTGAATGCGGTATTGTCAAAGTTTTTGCAACTAAATTATGATAGGTATTTTAGAGAAAAGCCAAATATTTTTAAAAATATACCATTGCTTTATTAATATTTACACATAAAGCATACAAAGAATATTATTTTTGGCATAATAAAGGGAATTTATTTTATTAAAGGACTATAAATATGTCAACGTTGCGTTTTAATTTCATACATTATGTTGTAGGTTATGTTAAGTGTTCTCGCGTACTTTGCCGAATATGTCCGAATTTATTAAAGCTTCACTTAAAATAGTTAATTATTAAAACCAAATTTAAATTAAAAGTAAATGCATATTTTCTTGAAACCAGAAAGTTCTTACTTTTTCGCTGGAAGAAAATAAAGAATTAATAAAAATGGGAGACGAAGAATTGCTCGAAAAAGAATACTTTATAAAAAGGTAGGTACAAGACACGATTATTTTTAGTTTAATTAAGCATTAGGAATGTTGAATCCACCTAAATCAATTCTTTAACAAACTCTACGAATTCCATCAACAAATTTTAAAGACCGGATAATTCTACAATGCAAAATATAACTATTTTATGAGGGGAACAGAAACACATAATTGTGTTTTCTTGATACTTTGCCACTGTAACACCCGAAACGAAAAATCATGTAGTTTTTTAATTATTATACCTTAGACATTGATTAGCAGTAGCGTAATAAGCACCCCCGCAGACCCCGCACCGCGGGGGGGCCCAGACGGCCAGGGGGCCCAAGGCTCACCTCACTCTTTAAAAGTTTAAACCAATGAATTAAAGAAATATTTAATTTTTTAAATATTTCATCTTAAAAAAATTAAAAATCCTAAAAACCTAAACGTATAAATATTTTTTGTTTACAATATTTATTTAATTCGTTGATTTTGAACATGCGCGAGAAATAAAATGCGGTAGAAAGCCATCTATTAAACGCTTTTCCAAATGTTAATATTTGCTAAATTTACAATGTTATTTGTTAGGTATATTTTAATTCTATGGTTATTTGGTTTAAAAGTTATGCAAGCATTATTTGTTAAAAATAGTTAAAATTTAACAATTTAAAAAAAATTAAATTAAATGCAATACGACAAAATATTAACTTTATAGAATTACCATGGTGGATAAAGAGGCAACCAAAATTAATTATATATTTTCTGTTTTACTACCAAAAATTGCAGATACAGGCTGTATCTGCAATTTTTGGTAGTTAAACAGAAAATATTTAATTAATTTTAGTTTAAAAAATCTTATTATATATACCTTTTTATTTGCAGATCATTTTCGTAATTCTATAATATATATCTCATTGGGATTCTTTAAAAAAAATATTTAAATAATAATTACCCAAATATTTTCTGTTTATTATATAGGTAATTATAATTCTGTTAACAAACGATAACTACACATGAACTTAAATAAGTTTTTACGCATGTGCGAATTTGCAAAGAAGCATATTCTCGATAAACAGTTTTTATTAAAAACACAGCCATTTTTCTTACCTAATCCTTTTTATTTGCTTATCTTATGTGACATAAGTTATGCCTGTCTATCGTATACACTATTTATCTACCTGTCAAAAATTTTAACTAAAAAATATTATGTATTTAAAGTGGATTTAAAAGTACTATGATAAACTAATTTAAAAATTACCTAAAGGTAATAATAAACTTTTTACTCATTGTAAAGGGGGCCCATTAAAATCGTTTGCGGGGGAGCCCACTCAGAATTTGTTACGCCACTGTTGATTAGTGCAATAATATTTAAATTTTACTGTTGAACTTATGAATTTAGTTTTTGTAAAATAAATGCGCTTCATCAATATTTAAGTATAAACAAATTATTTATTTAATAATGTTTATAAATAAAAAAGTCTTAATATTTATTATTAATTTTTTATTTAATTATTAATACCGTCCATTACAAACAAAATAACTATTTATTAAAAAGGAAACAACCATTTACAAACAATTAAAATAATTTATTATTTACGACGTGGTACTGTACAGTAAAAATGGCCGATAAGAAGCATTTTCCTTTGAAGTAGTTTTCGCTACTTTCAAGTTTTTTCCATCTTAATTTACTTCACGGTAGTTTTGGTTAGTACCATAAACGTTCCAAATACTAAAATAATAACTTTTAAGTTATTAACTTTGTAGTTTTTAACTCATGTTCCAGTTTCGAGATTTTAACTTGCAAAGGGACTACAAAGTAAAAATAATTATAATTTAATATTTAGGTAGAAACCAAACGTAACTGCTTTAAAGTTGCAAAGTCTTCTGGGGGGCAACCAAGTTTTACTTAAATGTTTATTACTTTATAGTTACCATTTAAGAAAAGAATGAAGTTTCTGTTACAAAATATTGCTATTTAAAAGTTAGAATTACTTTTAAGTAAAAATTAAAGTGGCTGTTTAGCATACTTAACTAATTTAAATTTATCACCACTTTGGTAATGGTTTTTGGAACCAAAAATGCTGCTTGGGTAGTGACACCTTTTAATGTAAATAGCTACATACAACTCTTAAGGCTTTTTACAATATACGATAATTGCCAAAACTGTGTATAATATTAAATATTTAACTTTTCTCTAGAAAAGCTTTACTTTTTTTCCATATGGCATGTTATCAGTGATGCCAGGTCGTTTTTTTTTAAAGCGGCAGATTTAGTTAAAAAAAAGCGGGAGATTCGAATAAAAAACGGTAGTTTTTAATTTTTTTTTAATACCATGGTTTTCTCTATTTTAATACTTACGTAACCAAAAAAAAATATATTGAATTTGTCAAAATAAAACAAAATATGATAAACAAAACAGAAAATATATTCTATAGATATTTCACAACTTTCACAACCTTAAATAAATATTCACTAATCGAAATCTTTAACTTAAGAATCTCTTACTTTAAAGTTCTTTTTCTATGTTCATGCCTAAAGAAAATAATTTCATCCAATCAAATTTGAATATTCGCGTACTACAAATTTGGTTGGCTGAAATACCCCGTGACTGAGACACTGACATTTGTAAATGATAGAACCATTGAGTAAAGAATCTTACTCAATGATAGAACCAACTAATTGTGTCATATCAATATTTGGTTTAGGCAACCCATATTTTACGTATGTTTCATATAAATTGTATAATACGCGGGAGATTTTTTTCAATAGCGGTAGAACGGGAGATTGTTTCCAAAAACGGTATATCTACCGCTAAAACGGGAGACCTGGCATCACTGCATGTTATTATTATTATTATTTTTCCATATACGTAGCATGTTATTGAATAGTAAAACGGCGTTCCATACTAAACACTTCCTGAACCCTTCCAACCAATATCCTACAAAAATAGGTACTCTCTTAAAATGAATTAGTCAAAAATAACTAATTGTAAGTCATATCGCTGGTTTCGTGCAAGACTATCCCAAGTCCATTTTCAAAGAATTGAAGAAAAACACTATTAAAAATTTTTTGCATAATTTGTATTTATTTATTAATCTTTGGATGTAAAACCTTCAATTTTTTTAAAAGAATGACGCAAAAAACAATTTAGTTACAATAAATGTTCTTTCTTTATTTGTTTTTATGGGTCATATTTAACCATGGAGCTTAGGTATGTGGGCAAATTTTTGCTGTCCCCAGCTAATTTTATTTTTATTTTTGACTTTTATTGATAAGTTTTGTATTTATTATATTTAAATACCCCCTTCCTGTTAGGACCCATCGTATTTTTTTTTAATTACTTTGTGTTTCTATATATGGCAGAAAAACTAGCTGAAATGTCCTGTAACCTAACTGTCCCCAGAGGCGATTTTTTAATTTAAATTATTATTTTCTTCTTTGCAGCTTTCTTCTGAAAAAATAAATTATTTTTGAACAATGGAAAGTTCTTTTATTCGTATATAAAAATAAAATAGTTTTCTACAAAGTAGTTTAAACAGAAAAAAATATTAAAGTTGACATTCAAAAATCTTGTCCTTTTCCTAACGTCGTCTTCTATGCCGACTGCTTCGAAATAGAGACACGACTCGTGTCACACGAGATAGAGATACTATCGTGTTATTTCTAGAGGGCATCCAGTTTGATAGTTCGGCAACAACAAGTGAGCACGTGTAAAGTGTGTGAATTTTTTTGTAAATATTTTAAGGGTTAAAATTTTTGTGCGTACACTTTTTGGTGTCTTTTACAAAACGCTACATACAAATCTTGTTTTAGAAGTTACCTTTTTTATTTTCATTTTGTATTATAACATTAGTAGAAATGCAAGATATTTACATTTCACAGTATTTCTGAAAAATAACGTTTGAAAAAGTCAAAAGCAATGTGTCATAACACGTTCAGGAAGATGCGTTAGGAGGAGGACAATGTTTCATTTCTTCCTTGTGTTCCTTCCCTATTTCAGATTAACCCTATAAGTTTTATTTCTTTAAAGTTTATTTTTGTTATTTATAAACGTATAGAATTTTTTGCAGTCTATTACACTGTTCTATCACAAAGGAAAAAAATCGATCAAATTGACCTGCCTGGACAAAATATACAAATACACAAAATGTACATTTAACGAAAATTCGCCCATATGCATTTAATTCAAATAATACTTTGTTGTTGGCCGTAAACGATTAAAGAAATTAGTTACTTTTAACTCTCAGAAATACTGACTAATCTTAAATTAGTCAAACTTTAACTATTTACGTAGTAAAAAGTAACTATTTAAAAGTGAAAACGACTATTTTATTAGTAAAAAATGCTGGTTCTAATTCAATTGAACCGTGCACGGTGCTGTTCTGAGAGGTGATTTTTGGACTTTCTGTGAAACCTATTTTTTTTTTATATTCTTGTTAATTAGGTCATAACTAAAATTTTAAGAGCAAAATAAAAAAAATTTGACGGTTTGAATTGTTTTAATTGGCTGTTTATTAAAAATATTATGCACTCTTTCAATTATCCAATTAAAACTAGCGATTTAATTTAAATATTTAATATTTGCAAAACTAAAAAAAAGGTTTTTACAATTTTTTTTATATATTTTACTGTTTTGTTGCAATAAACGTTCAAACTTTTAATCTAACCTTTGACGTATACATTTATGTTCCCTTAATTAATATATCCTTAAAGGTTGCCATGAAACTTAGATCTATTAAAAATTTATTTGATGTTTGAATTGTCATTTTCAGTATACGTATTCTATAATTTTTGTTTAGTTTATCGGGCCGATAACTTTCATGTCTTGGTAATATCTAGTATCCAAAGAAATTATTCGTCAAATATATCAAAAATGAATAAATCGGCCATAAATAAAATGTGGCACGCTTAGAATTATTGTTTAATAAATGTATTCTATACATTTAACCTTAAATTAAAACTTTAAACGTGTATTACAACAAAATAGTAAAAGATATAAAAAATGTATAGACCTTTTTTTAGGAAATTAACTAATCTTTAATCTTATTTAAAAAGTTATGATAATATTTAAATAAAATCGCAAGTTTTAATTGGAGAATTGAAAGTGTGCATACATATTTTTAATAAACATCCAATTAAAACAAAATTAACCGTCAATTTTTTTTTATTTTGCTCTTAAAATTTTAGTTATGACCTAATTAACAAGAATATAAAAAAAATTAGGTTTCACAGAGAGTCCAAAAATCACCTCTCAGAACAGCACCGTGTGTCAAATGGTAGAATTTTGACAATATCATTTTTAGAGAGTAGGCCAACGGTCGGGCGCCAAACGCAAAGGTGCACCGCACGAACAACACCTCGACCCTTCTCCCGAACTCACCCGAGCTCGCGCATCGCGCGAACACCGCGCCTGCACGATCGCAGTAACCGCTGACCCGCCGCAACCGTCGCGTCTAAAATGGCGGCGTTCCGCTACACGCACGCCGTTGTCTGCCGACTGCCGGCCTCCCTCAAGACCAAGACAAAAATCGACATGGACGAAGCTAAAAAACAGCACGAGAACTACGTGAGGCTCCTAAGAGAGCTGGGCCTCGACGTCATAGAGCTGCCACCTGACGAAAATCTACCCGAGTGCGTTTTTGTTGAAGACACCGCTGTGGTTTGCAACGGGACCGCACTGATTACCCGACCAGGTGCGGAGCACCGCGCCAAAGAAGTAGGTATCAAAAATTTCGAATATAGGGAACTAGGTCATCCCGTAACGCATCGCGCTCCTTTGTTTTTGTGTTTGGTGACCGTGACACTGATAACTAGATCAAACGAAACGAAATCAAACTGCAAAGTTCATAGCATTTCGCGTGTCAGTGCAATTCCTAATTGCTTGTTGTGTTAACATGTGTTTTATCACTTTATGTTGTCACTGTTACTTCATTTATATTAAACAAGATTGCCAAACTATCCATACAACCAGTAAAATTAGTGAAAACAGAACAATACTCTTAGCACCACGGTGCTAACATTCAAAAAGAAAAATAAAAGTTGCATCACTGTTTCTACTTACAGCAGAGGTGCATAATAAGAAAACATATATAAACGTATACTGTATCAATATGTCAGAAGGGATAAATTATATTTTATGTTAAAACCCGAAACAGGTTTCCTATTTAAGAATGCACAATTTTAATAATTTTTATTTATATTAACCTTATTTCGCTTAATTCAATTTTAAACAGGATTGCCAATCAAAAAATTAATTCGAAGAAGTATCTAAGAACAATAAATAAGAAACCAAGAGCAAGCACCAAAGTGCTAACTTTAAACTTTGTTAACGCTTTTACGAAGTTTAGTATTTTGCCTAATTTTTCATAATTTTAAACATCAAAATTTAATCAAAACTGTTTTAACCATTTAAAAATAGAATATTTAAAATTCCGCCATAAAATTCAAATATCGTACAAACTATTTAAATTAAAATTTATTCAAATGAATAAGCTTGTCTACTTCCACACGAATACATTAAAAATACAGATTAAATTTAACCACCCATACAACCAGTAAAATTAGCGAAAACAGAACAATACTCTTAGCACCATGGTGCTAACATTTAAAAAGAAAAATTGAAGTTGCATCACTGATTCTATTTACAGCAGAGGTCCATAATAATAATAATATATAAACGTATAATTTATCAATATGTCAGAAGGGAGAACTTATATTTTGCAGCCTGTTAATATGTATTTTACCTTGGGGGATAATTGTATTATATAGATGTGGGATAAATCCCAACTATGATATAGTAGCACGATCTCATTTAATATACAGTGTGATTTTAACCGAATTTGTTTTAAAGTGTAAAAACACCATATTTTTACAAATACCAGGCCTACTATATCAGTTAAAATTAAAAATGAACAGTAGTAACTATTTACAAAAATTATCCATGAAAAAAACATTGAAATAAAATCTTAAGTTATTTTATACGAAAAAAACAGCTTCTTGAGTAAAAAATTAACTTGACAAACTCGACATAGGCGGCTTGTGGTAACCAAATTAGCCTACTAATGGAATGTTGTTTCTTCAAAGACATGACATGTTTGTGTTTGACGAAGTCGAGTAATGCCATGTTTAGTGGATGTAAACTTAGTTTGGGTCTTATGAATAAAACTGAATGTAGGTTTAGATAAAATAAAAACAAAACTTAAAACAGTATATTAAAACATCGTTTTTACATTTCAATTTAATTTTCTTTTATTTAGGACGGACGGAATCCAGAACGCCATAATTCATATTTGATCGAATTACGACGTTCTGGATGCCGTCCGCCCTAAATAAAACAACATTTTGACCTAAAATGCTGCATGCCAAAACATAAAATTTTTATGTGTGCATTTAAGACTTGCTAAAATGTAACGGTTTGTGAGAAAATTTCCTGTCGGCACAGCGCTTACTTGGTTAATATTTATCAACAAGTGCATCAGCATTCGCGATAATATGCAGATTGTTTAAATGGACAACGAACTATAATTAGACGTACATTCTCATGTTTCCTTCTAATAATTAGGAGAACAATGCATTGTTCCATGTATAAATAAAGTTGGCTTTTAGTTGAATCATTAAGAATGTTTGAAAATAATTTAAAATGGTTATGAGAATACAGGGTATAATTTAAAATTATTAAAAGAGAAATAAAAACGCCATAATGGTTTATATAAATCATTGTAAAAATCGTTAAAATAAGAAAACTATAGGAAAAATAAATATGGGTGATTCTACAAAAGTTGGACAACTTGATGTCATCAGTCAATAGAGTAGGTATTTTAATATTTTTTGTAAATATTTTAGTATATTACAAAAGATTAAATTTTTCAATTTCACTACAAACTTTAAAACGTTAAATAATGTATTTTTCATATTTTATCATAGATTCGAATAATAACAATTTTTAAAAAACTGATAATCTTTGTACTCACTTTTACCCGTCAGTTCTGTGTCCAATGTTAAAATTCAAAATTCCTGCGAAATATTGAAGTTTAAACGTCAAGTCCTCGTTTTAACTCAAGTGTTGGTAAAAAATTACCTACAGAGCCCGCCCTTTGCACGACAGTCATCTTGAAAACAATGCAAGCGGCGAAGTTGTGGTGAATGCACGTATATATATTTCATTGTAATTTATATAAGGCTATATGTGATTTGTTGATAACTAGCATCTACTAATAAAGAATATCAGTAAAATACTTAATTCCGAATTATACTCTCAAATTTGTATCCGTCTCATCAGATCCATGTCGTCAGTTCCATGTTCGATGTTTCGGTTATCTTTTTTTCGCAAACGTCAATTTAAATTCTGCTTGCGCAGAACTTGTTTATTTAATGTCATTGTAAACTCATATAAATTTGGTGTGGGTCCCATATCTAATAATTGAAATATCGGTATACCCAAAATCCACCAGCCGCCACTGATGGGTGGTATTATTTGATTTTAAGATATTCAATGTATAATATGCTCAAAGTTGCAATAAATCTTATATTATCCAATAAATTATGTATTTAATTAGTACCCTGGTATACCCGTCACTTACTTTGCATTCAAATTTAGAAAACAGATATTTCAGAAAATGTTTGAAAAAGTGACTGGCCCGGTCTGGAACAGTATATTTATTATTTTATCTATGTTCTCATAACAAAATACTGTTTAATTTTCTCCGAAAACCATATAAACCAAATGAGGTCAAAAGTTGCCCAACTTTTGTAGAAACACCCAAATAAATATGTATAATATACACTGTATTAATTTTTCGACCAAAAGTCATTCTTCATAAAAAATTCTGCTTGTTTTATAAAGTCCATTTCCATACTTTAAATTTGAAAATATTATACACTGGGGGTCAAAAAACAAGAAAACAGGAAATACTATCAAGAGTAATTTACCTTCATTTTTCGTTTTGGAATAAAGTGACAAATAAAAAAGGATTTCAAATCATATCCAAAGACTAATTGACTAAAATATTTGCTTTAAAATAAGGATATTTTATTTTACTTAAAATTAAAGCCAAAAAAAAACCTTACAATTAAACTTAAATGTTAAAGGTCGAGTCCCCACAATGTGTGTATAAAGGCCTTGCACCTTTTTTTTTTCTTTATAACCCGGTCCACCTTTAACTCTGGAAATAGGTTCGGGTCAATATCCCGCGTGAAAGGTAAACACCACCAAACTAATTTGATGGGATAGAAGGGTAAACCAACCGTCAGCACATAAATAAACTACCGTATGGAACAGAATAAAAAAGTGTTTGAATTGGATATATTGGGGTGTGAATTTTTTAAATAATTGCAAGGCATTAAAACAAATTATTTATTATAACAAAAAAATTAACTCATATTATATGATGTACAAAATAAAAAATACGAATTTACTTTTTAAACAACAAGTCTGCTTCGTTTATAGAATAGACCTTAAATATTTCTTTTACAAAACGTAGAAATTTTAATTTTCTTGGTGATCTTTTTTATTATTTTTATCATGCTAGATTTTACCACACTTCACTCGCACAAGTGAAATCAATAAGATTATAACACAGACTGCGGATTATAAAGTTATGTTCACCAAGGAAAGCGCTGGCCCTTTCCCCCTCTTTTTAAGGAAAATAACAAAAATTTTGTTACCATTGCAAAACAATGGTAAATATTAAAAAAGTCTGTTTATAGCAATAATAATTGTTCATAACGTAAGCTATTAACAAAGATTTTCTAACTGAAATAAAATTAATTTGAATTACAACGAAAGTAATTTAAAAAAAAGACAAATATGCCATAGTAAAATGAACAAATTTTACTATAACAACTGCGCATTACTTTATGTAAGCGCAATTCACACACAACTATAGATTTAACAAAAACATTTTTAGTTCGACAATGATTTAATATAAACATACAAGTATTTATTATTGCCATGACAATATGATTGTTGGATGAACATTTTTTTATAAAAGCTCAACATTGCTGCTTCATTATAGAAAATGAGAATTTTATTAACAGTAAAAAAGTTTATTCTGTAAATAAAAATAATATCATTACTTTGACAAATTATTCATATATTATGTAAAAACTATTTCTTCTTTTCGCTCCTTTTTGAAGGCATTAAATAAAATAATATTTAGAAATTAAATACGACTTACCCGTGAAATTTCATCGTAAAATTTAATGTTCCACAGTAATTACTTGGAAATGAAAAATTAGTGGCTGGCAGCATATTCTCCGAGCGAAATAGTAAACGAAATCAGGAATAATTATCTACAATTACTCTACATGAGTGCGTATAATTTAATTTAATCATGAATTGGCTCTGTGTGTTAAATTATTGCACATTTTCTTGTAATAAACACAGTATTTAGTAGGTGTATACAGTGCGAACGTAAAACTCCCTTCTTTTTATTTTATGATGTTAAACTAGACACAAACTTTTTAACATAAAAAATGAACCTATTTTTAAGATTCTATACAGGAAAAATTAGCAACATAAGATTTACATTTAAAACACGTAAGTAATAGTTGTTATCATATTGTCATGGCAATAAGAAATACTTTATGTTTATATTAAATCTTTGTAGAACTTAAAATGTTTTTGTTAAATCTATAGTTGTGTGTGAATTGCGCTTACATAAAGTAATGCGCAGTTGTTATAGTAAAATTTTTTCATTTTACTATGGGATATTTGTC